GTGATCAACAATTAATGTATACGCGAAATTTCAGCGTAGTAGTCGCGTTGTTAACACGTTGCGAACGTTGCACTCGAGTATATAACATACAGACGATACAAACGCAATTTACTAACGATGATTTATCGCGTGTACGAACTTGTAAGTTACAAGCGGAACGCGGTAAAAAGCGAGAGGATCAAGATTTTGAAGAAAGATGGTTTTTTTCGAAATCCCTACCCGCTGGCTATTAATTAGTCCCAATTAATACGCGGCGATCAGATCCGGTCCCCGAAGGAATTAAAAGCCGAAGCCGCAGCTGGCGGAGATTAAAGAACCAAAGGTGCTACGTATCCTATGGACTAACGTCAAGATTATCCGGATAACGAACTACCGCTGTTCGAAAGCGGCCGCGAGGATTCGAGCACTGATATCGGGCTCCGGTCAAGGGGTGCTCGAGGCCGGAAGTGGAGGACGAGGGCTATAAAGAGACGCTCTTCGGAATGATCGGCCTCGAGACAAGTCCGAACCCGGTAAAGCACAGGTGTACCAACGCCATAATTTATAGCTGGCTAATAAATTTCACCGAGAATCTTGTTTCGTCGGTTTACGCTCGAATCTGGAGTCGTATCGTGAAGTAGTTGCGAGCCAGTTCTGACACGAGGACATAAAGCGACCTCGAGGGATATTTAGAGGCGACATTAACGGGGAAAAATAATCGCCGCGAGCGAACGCCATTGATAAGAGTGAATTGCGTTAACGGTCTACGGGCTAGGACATAAGGGATGATCGATGGTTACGTTTAATCGCCAACTTAATCGATTTCCACTTTTCATACGTCGACTTGTTACAATTACGCTCGTTAGAGTTATCGAACTCGCTCGCCTGTTGCTACATAACGTGATTGACCAGAACTTATTTTTTCTGAGCCATGTTTGAACGCTAAGATATAAAATTGACATCTTAGCTGAGCTGTCTATCTTACATTTAATATAAAACTCAACTTTTGTATAATATTTACACGTTTCCGATATTTGTGCAACAAAATGGCAGATATCTTTACATTCAACTCCGCCAATGTTGAAATCATTGTTGTTTAATGCTATTTTTATGTGGTTTAGCCGAGATCGGAAACGACCTCGTATAAATTTATTGGCCATTCAACGAACACCTCGAACGTCCCTGATTATCCTATCGAATTTTCACAATGAACACTTTCTGTCTGATCCGCGTTGCATTCTAAGGACATTTAACTTCGAGCAAGTGTGTACCCGGCGAACACACGATGGCTCTTCACCGCGTGAAGTGTTTTGCATCGGAGATCAGAAGTCGAAGTTGTCGCAATCTGTCTTGGGAATCGCGTGGAATTCCACGGACGTGCCTCGCGACTCGCACGGCAGGCAGCCTCGTTCCGCTTCTCATTTCATTTTCACGACGATGCTCGGTCGGTGTCCGAGCGAAAACAGCAATTCGGAAGCAGTCTGTACGCCGTCGTTATCGTACGAATCGGCCGAGTTCTCTCACGAAGCGAATACGTGCCTTGAGCACCGAGCCACTTCTTTTTCTGCTTCTCCGGCTTTGTAAACGGGACATTAGGGTAGGGCTAAGGGTGGAGAAGAGCTTTCAATTTGCTTTCGATTTCGGAAAATCCTAACGTGGCTTCTAGGTTACGAAGTCCTCCACATTCTTGACACGAGTAAATTTAGAAAATCATAGGAGGAGATTTTAGTCTAGATCCTGCGAGGTAATAATTCCCTAAGATCAAAGGAAAACGGTGGAGGGTTCTTCCCTACATTTTTCCCTCGAGAAGGAAATTTACGTTGCACTCGAGTACGAGAATTCACTCGAACGAGTGTATATTAAACTTGTCGTCATCAGCGATATTTCCATGGATTGCAAAAAGGGGTGAAAAGAAGCGCCATAGAGGAATCGAGGAGAGAGACAGGTGTGTAGGAAGAATAAAGAAATTGAGAGACCGAGGCGAAAGGAAAAAATGTCCGAAGAAACGAAGAGAAAAAGAGAGGAACGAGGGAAAAACAGACAGGCGAGGAAGGAATACGAATATCGACGGTCGATCGAGGATCGAACGTGTTACCTATACGCGAGTAATAAGCCTCGATATTCCCACACGGGCCCATCCTGGCCCGCCGTGGGAAACTCATACGTGAGCAGTGCTCGAGCTTAGCCAAGAGGAGACGCGGAGCGGCCTTTCGAAGCGAACTATTTCGACGCAGGTGCGGATTCGATCGGGAACGCAGGCGTATTTCGGCGCGAGAACATTTTTCAGCGTGCAGCTGGGACGATAGCGCGGGACGCATACGTATTTGTCTCTGGTTAAATTAAAGAAATACGCGGCGACGTTTTAATTGGACCCGTTATTTACTTGGTCCCTGGTTGGTTCGTCGATCGACCGGACCGAACCGGACGTTTATTTGCGACGCGGGTCCGGCCAGGCATCTCGTTCGCAATTTACACCGTAATGCGCTCGCTTGTGCAACCACGCGTTCCGAGCAATTTTAGAAGGCGAAATCGCGTCGCCATTCGAGTGCAGCGCTGCCTTTTAATGTTTTAATTTTCAAACTGCATTAAAATCGCCCCGAGCTAAACTTAAACTGCCCTCCTCGCGACCACTCTCGATCGGTTGTTTATAATGCTACGCGTGCACTAAGGAAGCAATTTAATAATAATAATGCCGGCACCAACACGATTTCTACACGATCGAGTGTGAGCGATCAATCTAGCTGTACATCGTCTCTCAAAAGTTTCGGTTGTCGATATTTTCTTACGATGCAGCTAATTTTATACGTGTTGTAATTTTATTAGAGGCTCTTATACATGTTTAGCATCGAATCACAGATAGAGAACAATAATGTGAAATATAATGTGAATGCTACTCCGTTAACTTGATGAAAAAATAACGGACTGTATACGTAGTCCCCTCCATTTTGATTTGTAGGAGTATCTGAAGTCTCCAATTTACAACAGAGCAACAGTATCGATGCTTTCCAAAGAAATTTCCAACCAACTTGATCATGTTACAACTTCAAACAACTCAAAAGATCAATGACATCGTATCTGTGATTAAAATTAAGACCAAAGGTGGTCCACTCGAAACAATTTCAATAAAAGCACCCAAAAGAAAGTGTTGCCTCACAAAAATGATTGTAACCTGGACACAAAATCAGATACGATGAACATTTCTACAAGATTTGTTCGACTGCTCGGAATCCAGCAGCAGAGTTATGTCCACATATTATGGCGCACCCTGTACATGTATAATCGTTTATCATAATAATTCAGAGTGCAGCGTGTGAGTGCAACGTACACACCCATACAAACGGACAGCTGATTGCAACTTATGTTGCAGCAGTTATTACCGTCGTTCGAGACGAATTAACCGGCGATACTTCGGTGTCCCAGAATTTGCGCGTGTGCACATACACACGTAGAGGCGAAAACGGTGCAGCAGAAAGGAGTGCATGCATGTATCGAAGGTGAATCTGGGCCTCGATCGGGGCGTCGCAGGTGCAGGTGCCTCTAGAAATTGGCATCGAGGCTGAAGGGAGGAGAAGAAGTCGAAGAAGTCGGAAGAGGGAGCGAGGTGCACGCGCCTCTGATGCACCGATGCAACCGATATCTTCTTAAACTTTCCTATCCGCTCATTCATGCCCGCCTAAATGCCTATAATTTCCGGTATGATTACAGGGCACCGTAACCAACGCCCTATGGACCCATGCTGTTCCCCCGCGAGAGCCTCGTTACACAAGACCCCCGAAATTGAAACGATACGGGCTTCCTCGTCTTCCTGTTCCATCTTCCCCCGATGAAATAACCAACAACCTAATGATATCTAAATCTCTTCGACCGATATAGTTGGATTGCAGGTTCTTTCGAATAAGCAAACAACGAAATTGAGACGGAGGGACAGCTGGCTCTCGTTTCGAATCGAGAGCTTCTGGTCGAACGGTTTTTGCACGAGCGTTGTCGTGCCTTCCACTTGGAAACACGACGATTTCAGGGAAGCAAAGAGTTCGCGAGGAAACACGAAACACCTATCACGCGACGTTTACTTCTGTTTTTAGAGAACAGCGAGGACCGACGTATCGAAAATTGGCGCCGATCGTTGGACGAACTCGTGGAAGCAGGGGATGCTAATTCGGAGGCGGTTTGGGAACTTGACGAATTAACTTTACTTTTTCTTGGTACAAATTATTTGGTGAAGTAACGACAATTTAATTTTAGCATTTTGTTTTAGAAGATCCATACACAAACTTATACCCCTTCTTCTTCGAATAGATACACCTATCAGATGCAATAATCGCAATTGCAATAGCATAATATGTAAATGCAAGATTTATTTTTTTAAATAAATATACCATTGTTGAAGTTATCGTCCCGTTTAAAGTCATTAACAGTTCAATAAATTGTTAACATCATACTCTACTCTATCAACCCTACTCCTGTATGCAAAAACAATGCACCGTACATTGTAAAACATTACATGTTCTGTTATGCGAAATCGTTCAAATTTCTCTGCAAATACGCACACGATGCTTCCAATTTATGAAATTAAATCAAATCAAACGATTGCGTAAAGAAGTATCGAATTGATTTTCAAACAAAGGTTCAACTTCCCTTCTACCGGTATTAATTTCGTTAACAACAACCTGTTATTTGAAGCTGGTAACTTTTCAAAATGTTACACAATTTTCCCCGTGCAAATGTTTAAACGTTTCATGAAACGAAGCTGGTGCAACATTATCATCGCGACGCAATGTAGTCCACCTGTGGCCCGGCGGATTACTTTAAACAAAACACACGTGCACGATTATAAATCGTTTTAGAGGATTATAGAACGAAATAAGCGCGTAAAAGGACCATCGTCGTCGGCTACCATCGGCACGTGATCTCTGAACTTCGGAGGAAGTACCGCGTGAAAAGTAAAACGTATCTCCCGCGCTTTTTCCCGTTCGAAGGATTGAACGCGTTCCGTGTGAAAGAAAAAGAAATTGCTTGCTCACCTCCTGTTGCTGAATTAGGAAGTCGGGGGCGATCGGTGGCGGGGGTGGTTCCGAGCCGGAGACTTCTTGGAGCAGTCCCACGTGCTCCCAGCAATCTTCCGATATGTCCATGATCGTCCCCTCTTCTTTTTGCACGCGGAACGTCTTCGGGACACCGAATCCTCTTGCCAGGAATCAAATCGAATCTGCTTCTCCCACTCTGTTCACCTTGTTCTCCGATTTCGTCGCGTTCTCTGTTCGAACAACGGAAACGAGTAAACTACGAAAGATAAAACTGTCTTGACGCACTGGAAGGTCACTCGGTTTGGTCGTCCAAGGGTGCGTAACCCTGTCGCTGATGGATCGAGCGAGTAAGCGAAGAGGCGCGGAAAAAACAACACCCGGAGACGCACAAACACACGTTAACCGTCGGACACGGCGTGTCGCGTGACCCGCGTTCTATGACGACGACGACGGCGTCGAGGACGACGACGGCCGTCGGTGGTGGTCAGTCGGCGTGGAATGAAGTTGGCCCGCGGGTTAGGTTGGGTTAGCCGAGCCAGAGTTGCAGCATCAGCGGAGAGGGACGAGAGGGCAGAGGGGAGGCCGAGAGAGAGAAAGAGAGACGAGCGGAACGGAGCAACGCAGAACGTGGAAGAGAGAGGTGTCCGAGGGGCGAACCGGGGAGAGACAAAGAGAATGGTTAGAGAAAGAGAGAGAGAGGGAGAGAGAGAGAGAGACAGAAAGGGTGGGGTATAGAGAGAGAGAAGCGTAAGGCGTAAGTCTGCCCTAGTCGCTCGCTTAACCGTGCAGGAGGTGGCGCCAATATAACCAGTACTCCACCTCCGTCCGACAAAGAGCTTGCGTATACCTGTATGCGCCTGTTGGTAGGCCATACCGCCTACCGACTACCGTATTGCAGGATCTGTGATCCGGTAATTATTGCGAGTTCGCTTGTATTCCATCGTAACTGCTGTTTTTTGCCCCTGCCAAACACTTGCGTGTCTTCCTTCGGAAGCGTGAATTCTGCTGCCCGCGAAATGGACACGCGCTATAGATCGTCAAAACTTTTGCCCGTTTAGCGCGCGATCGCTTAATTCTTTACAGATAGAGCACCCTTCTTCCCTTCTTTCTCTCCTCTTCAGACTATAAAATCTTAATATATAATATAAGTCTTCGATTGAACCGCAAATAGTCTAACAAATACAATCCGCAAAAGATCGTTTAAGAATATTCAAATTGTTATCGATAGATACTTGTTAGTAAACTTGAACGTAGTATCCACTATCGCCTCGTATCTTTTCTAACCTTGATTAACACCTTTCCCTGCACGAACGATCTTTGTTCGAGGTAAACGTATATCGCGTTTACTTATCGCAATTACCGCAATTCTCCATTTCCTCGAATCGATCTGTCGACAAGGGAACCGAGGAACGATAGCGAGTTGGCGCCGATAAACGATCGTTATCCACGATCGGACTGCCCTTACCTTTCACGTATACCTCCCGATAATCGACGACGACGTGGGCGGCGTGGTGGTCCTCTTTGGGACGACGCGAACCTCGTGCGCGAACTTGCAAAGGGTGCTCGTGCTCGTATCCTCGACTGTTCTTCTCTCGGCGACCACCATGTTCCTTCCATGCACCAAATTGTCACGAGTGCGCGCGATTTGCATCGACAACGTTGTTCCGTCACCATCACTCCCATACATCATCACGTGAAGTTGGCCCGCGGGTTAGGTTGGGTTAGCCGAGCCAGAGTTGCAGCATCAGCGGAGAGGGACGAGAGGGCAGAGGGGAGGCCGAGAGAGAGAAAGAGAGACGAGCGGAACGGAGCAACGCAGAACGTGGAAGAGAGAGGTGTCCGAGGGGCGAACCGGGGAGAGACAAAGAGAATGGTTAGAGAAAGAGAGAGAGAGGGAGAGAGAGAGAGAGACAGAAAGGGTGGGGTATAGAGAGAGAGAAGCGTAAGGCGTAAGTCTGCCCTAGTCGCTCGCTTAACCGTGCAGGAGGTGGCGCCAATATAACCAGTACTCCACCTCCGTCCGACAAAGAGCTTGCGTATACCTGTATGCGCCTGTTGGTAGGCCATACCGCCTACCGACTACCGTATTGCAGGATCTGTGATCCGGTAATTATTGCGAGTTCGCTTGTATTCCATCGTAACTGCTGTTTTTTGCCCCTGCCAAACACTTGCGTGTCTTCCTTCGGAAGCGTGAATTCTGCTGCCCGCGAAATGGACACGCGCTATAGATCGTCAAAACTTTTGCCCGTTTAGCGCGCGATCGCTTAATTCTTTACAGATAGAGCACCCTTCTTCCCTTCTTTCTCTCCTCTTCAGACTATAAAATCTTAATATATAATATAAGTCTTCGATTGAACCGCAAATAGTCTAACAAATACAATCCGCAAAAGATCGTTTAAGAATATTCAAATTGTTATCGATAGATACTTGTTAGTAAACTTGAACGTAGTATCCACTATCGCCTCGTATCTTTTCTAACCTTGATTAACACCTTTCCCTGCACGAACGATCTTTGTTCGAGGTAAACGTATATCGCGTTTACTTATCGCAATTACCGCAATTCTCCATTTCCTCGAATCGATCTGTCGACAAGGGAACCGAGGAACGATAGCGAGTTGGCGCCGATAAACGATCGTTATCCACGATCGGACTGCCCTTACCTTTCACGTATACCTCCCGATAATCGACGACGACGTGGGCGGCGTGGTGGTCCTCTTTGGGACGACGCGAACCTCGTGCGCGAACTTGCAAAGGGTGCTCGTGCTCGTATCCTCGACTGTTCTTCTCTCGGCGACCACCATGTTCCTTCCATGCACCAAATTGTCACGAGTGCGCGCGATTTGCATCGACAACGTTGTTCCGTCACCATCACTCCCATACATCATCACGAAAATATTTTATACGTTCCTGATTACGCACAAGGATTCTCCGCCATAGCGTAAGGACTATCCTGGGGAATTTATGGATTAGCAGACATAATACGCAGAGGCGTAGGGCTCTCGAAGAGCTTAGAACTCGTGGAGTATCTAGAAGGGAAACTACAGCTTAGGGAGAGAATATGAGAGATACTAGGACCTAAGGGAAGATAGGACCTATGACGAGTCTAAGACCTAAGGAGAGAGTAGGTCTTAAGGAAGACCTCAGGATGTTGGAAGACCTTAGTAGAAGCGAAGGTCTCTAGGTAGAACTAAAGGAATGCCTAGATGATAGGAAAGACTGTGAGAGAATCCAAGTCTAGAGAGAGTCTAGCGTCAAGATCCTAGAAAAGGACGAACGATATCTGACATTGGCACCATAAGTGCAGAGTATATTAGAATGTCGTCAGCTCACCCTATCCAGGTCGTCGACGAATAGTTTCTTCTTGACAGTTAACACTGAAATGGCTACCGCCCACACTATCACTGTCACGACACCATCTCGCTAATGGCAAAACGCGCGAATTCTACTCTCGCGAACGTGCACATTCGCGCGCACTGCAGGTGGCGACGCGCAGCACGCGCGTAATTTATTGCGCACATATGCATGCAGCGAGATCCCGATCGTTAACTGGCGAAGGTGTAGCTACAGGTAAATTTCAGTTTTCCGCGAGATCGGACAAGTTTCTGAGTTCCAATTGACTCCGGTGACTGGCAGGTTTTCGGGACATGGCTGCGCGACGTCGATTAACAGGTGAATTCGACGTTGATACTGCGTATTAACTGGCGTTGTTATACAATGTTTACGAGTAGATACTATTTAAAAGTACGGCACGGTAACCGTGAAACGCGACCGGTATTTTATCGGGTAAATTACAGGTCTGGCTTGGCGCGTTATTACACGCTGTCGCGGCTCAACGACTCGCCTGCAACTTTTTCCACGAGTTCTCGGGACGTTCGTTGTGCCGTGACAAATTGTAAGATAGTTGAGAAGAATGACACGCGATAAGTGCACACGAGAAAATGCGTGTCACACCTCGGGCGTAATGGCATCTCGCGGTACGTCAACGGGCCCCTATACTTACTGGCACACTTTTTGCCGCTGCAGACCTAGGCAAAAAGATACGTTTTCATGTGACGTTTAACCGTGACTATTGCTATCATGACGCGAGACGTCACGACTTTTTTCTGTTGTGGAAACTTGAAGTCTGGTTGTCATGACATTGAATTTCATATCGTGATTGCAAAGGCGGAAAATTAAATCAATTAGTAACGCTCCTGGTAAAGCGCTACGTGTAACGCGAGCGATTGAAAACAAATTTCTGATATAAAATATAAGCGGTGTCCTACATCGTGTTTTGCGCAACATAGGGAGATCAATCCATGTTTTGGGGGAGCCAGATTCACCCTGGTCCCTATCATTAACGCCGGTACATATTTAGTACATGCGCATTGTTTGTTGTGTGCGCTTTGATCGTTTCGGATACTTTTCTCGTGTTGCCGAGCTGTACACGCTGGTGTCACTTGCACAACCATGTGTATCGAGGCAAGTACAAGAGAGACGAGAGTAAACGCGAGAACGCCAGTCAACAGGCAATCGAACGTAGGGTTGGAATGCGATATGAATGCGTTAATGCGTTGTTACTGACAGCGACACGAATCGTGGATAATACTTTCGTACGCGACCTCCCTCTCCCACCGTTTTGCCTAAATGTTCGCTCGACCAGACCGTTTTTTTTTTATTTTCCCCGGTGCTCGCTCGCGTTTTAATTCGTCCGTGTCGACCGGCGTACCTGGCTCAAAACGCTACTAATAGTCGCCACTTGGCAGTCGCTATTATCGCGCGGACACACTCTGAAATAGCACCGGGTGCCGCATCGACGTCAAAGATTGATCGCGCCAGGCTGCGACATTCTCGTGGAACGACGGCTCAACGATAAACGCAGTTTTGCTGTTACTGTCCTCTCGGTATTCCAATTTTTTAACTGAAATACACAACGGAAGATTTTAGCTACAAATCGATCAAACGACAACGCGTGTACCGATACTGTGCGCCTGAATCGCTCGGAATTGTATTCGATCTAAAAGTATCAAAACTTCTGCGGTATTAATAATTAATTAACGAACACGATTTTCGCTCGGCGCATCGCGCAAACCTGTCTCGTTATCTATCTGAATAATGTCTGTAGTAGCAGACAACTCAGCGTGCGCGTCGCTGAAAGTGATAAAATACGAAGCATCGGACATCCAACGTACACCGGCAAAAACGTCGTTTATAATTAATTGACACTGATTTATATTCGGTCGCGCATCGTCTGTATCAAGCAGACTCATGGATTTTGGACAGGTCTTAAATCTTCGAAAACGTTCAGCGTTCTATAAGATCGAATTTGTTTAAAGCTCGCAGGAGAAAGTTTCGATAGAGGTCGGTCCGAAACGGTGAATGAAAAATTTGCCGAGCAATGCTTAGGTAAATAATTGCTCGATTTCTACGGTGCTTGTATCGCGAACAAAGAAAAAAGGCGGAGAAACGTTGAGCTATTAGCCGCAGCAACGT